TCTCACACACACACTCTCACACACACACACACACACACACTCACCCACACACACACACTCTCTCACACACACACTCACACACACACACTCACACATACACACACTCTCACAAACACACACTCACACTCTCTCTCTCTCACACACACACACACACACTCACACTCACATTCACACTCACTCACACACACACTCACACATATACACACATACACGCACTCTCACAAACACACTCACACTCTCTCACACACACTCACATTCACACTCACACACATACACACTCTCACAAACACACACTCACTCACTCACACACACACAATCTCACACACGCGCACACACACACACTCACATTCACACTCACTCACACTCACACACACACACACACACACTCACACATATACACACACACACTCTCACAAACACACTCACACTCTCTCACGCACACACTCACATTCACACTCACTCACACACACACTCACACATATACACACATACACACTCTCACAAACACACTCACACTCTCTCACGCACACACTCACATTCACACTCACTCACACTCACACACACACACACACACACTCTCACACACACACACACACACTCACACACACACACTCACACACACACACTCACACACACACACACACACACTCACACATATACACACATACACACACTCTCACAAACACACACTCACACTCTCTCACACACACACACGCACACTCTCTCACGCACACACTCACATTCACACTCACTCACACACACACTCACACATATACACACATACACACTCTCACAAACACACTCACACTCTCTCACACATGCACACACTCACACTCACATTCACACTCACTCACACACACTCACACATACACACTCTCACAAACACACACTCACTCACTCACACGCGCACACACACACACACACACACACACACAAACTCACTCTCACACACACACACACACACTCTCTCACACACACACACACACACACACACACAAACACACACACACACACACAAACTCACACACACATCACTGACCGTTAGCACACCACAATTACAGTCACTCTACGTGGAAATTAATCACACGCTGAAACTTCAGCTACTGAATGTGTTTCGGACAGAGTAGTTCGGGAGGACTGAAGTCGTTGACAAACTCTGATATGAATTTGAACACACATTAGACATTTCTATCATGAAATTCAATCCCTTAATGTCCCGCACTGATTGGATGTCATGTTAATGCTGGCGTCGCTCACAGTTGTTGCTGTCTTTGTTGTGGTGCAGTTTTGACTGTGCGATGCAGGCTCTGAAGAACACAGCCACAAACACGGCGGACGAGCTGGCGGAGGTGTTCACGGAGATGAGGGCGCACCTGTACCTGTACTCCGGGACGCTGCTGCTGAAGAGGGCACAGGACGGGGTGCAGCAGTGGAGGGCTGTGCTGGATCTGGCCGCTCTCTGTTATCTCGTATCCTATCAGGTACACCACTTCCTCTTCCTCACGCGCTCGTGCCGTCTGATCCTCCACCTTACAGCGTCTCATCTGCTTCTCTCGCAGGCTCCGAGACCCAAAGCCAGGAGCTTCAAGAGTGAGCAGGCGTCCCATGAGCCTCTGGAGCTGCTGGCCTGTGATCGTCAGAGTCAGGCGGGTCACATGCTGCTGAACCTGAGCCGGGACGTGGAGCAGCTGCTGAAGGACGTGGTGGAGGCCTTCGGGAACCGGAGCGGCACGGGCCGTCTGTTCAGCGCACAGCTATTCAGCGCACAGACGCAGGAGCAGCTCTCCTTCATCTGCAACGATGATATCCACGTCCTCAGCGTACATGTGCCCAAAGCCGTGGATCTGGCCAAGTGTGACAGCGGTGAGTGTCAGACAGGAGTGCCAGTGAGTGTGTGTTGGGTCTGCTGTAGATGCTGATGCAGTGTGTGTCTCTGTGTGTGTGTGTGTGTGTGTGTGTCACAGGAGTGTCAGCATCGCACGCGGGTGATCTGCAGCAGCTGGCGTGGCTCGGTCTGCAGTGGGCGCTCATGGGTCAAAGCGTGAGTCTGCAGGACTGGCTGAAGCAGCTCTTCCCTCGCCTCACGCTCGAGACCTCCAAACTGGACACCAACGCGCCGGAATCCATCTGCCTGCTGGACCTGGAGGTGCGTTCACTGCCTCAGCAAGTCTTACTCTGAATGTGACACGTTAATCCACAGAGGAAGATGTCAGGAACAGGGTCTGTGCAGAGCTTTATTTATGACTGATGATTGTGTCAGACTGATGCTGTAGGTGGCGGAGCTTTTCTGAAATACTTTCTTGTAATTAATGCTAGAGCCCGACCGATATGGGTTTTTGGGGGCCGATACCGACACTAGGGAGTAAAAACACGCCGATATCGCTATATCGGCCGATATTCTGTGTGTATATTATAGTACAGTACCAGTCAAAAATTTGGACACTTTCCCATTCGTGTGTCCAAACAGAATATAACAGATTATATATACACATAAACACATTTTTTGCAATGATCACTCAGATGTGGTGATCAAACACTTATAATGGTGACAGAGATACGTAATGGAGGCAGGGCATTTAACTATTTAACAATAAACTTTATTATCCAAAATGAGTCTGACATCAGTGCACTGAACAGTAAAGTTGAAGTTTATTCAACTTTAATTCAATTCAATTCCATTCAACTTTATTCCGTTGAAGTTTATTTCACTTCGGAACATTCATTCACGGATTTGCGCTACTGTCTTCACACACAGACGAAACTTACTAGAGAAGTGTGACAATACACCTCTGTAAATAAATACTAGGCCTTTTTAAATTCACGTCTCGCGCACTTTAATGCCCTTTGAATGTAACGTGTACGTTCCCTTGGAACTGGAATCATGGCGGAACTTCATGTGAAGTCCACTTCGCAGGGCACTTACGGTCGAATAAGACCACGCGTGAATGCTGCCTGAACAAGAAACCTCCTTACTGAAGGGAAAGTGTTGGCTGGTGTCACTATCTCGCAAACGCGCCGGCAGATCTCCACCAAATTTGGGGGATCCCTTCAGCTCGAGGAGCCCTCTCGAACGCCACCCTCCGCGCATCGGTAGCCCCCCGGGATCGCCAGATCGGTCGGCGCCCAGCCGTGAATTTAACCACTTGTAACTCCCGGACCCCGGGGGCTATCGACGCGGGGGTGGTCTCATTCGAAAGCGGGCCTCTAGACGTACACTCGATTCGTGTTCGAGAGGGTTCCTCGAGCTGAAGGGATCCCCCGGATTTGGTGCGGACTCGCCGCGCTGTTATGGAGATATGGCCGTTCAAAGTTTCAATGGTATTCCATACACTTAAGCTTTAAAGCATTTCATCCAGGTCGCCAGTAGCAAACAATAGTGCTCAGTCTGCTTGTTCTGCCCTCGTTAAAGAGTTCTCCTCCTTAAACTAGGCAGATAGATAACTCCTTCCACAGGGACGTCGAATTGAAGCATGATTTATTATGACCACCTCTTCAAATATAATTGTAACAGAGTAAAAAGACAAAGCTTCTTTAAATGATTGCTAAGATGATGAAAAGATTGAAAATAGCTGCTTTAACCGTGTGACTATCAGCATCAACTGAGTAAAACAAGATGGCTGCTATTAAGGTCAGAGGTTACTGTCGAAACGTATAGAATAGCCACCTAGTGGCTCAAAAACTAAACTGCACTGGAAACGGTACACTGCTTGACAAACTACGTAATTACACCATTTACAAGCATTTTATCTGCATTATATTTTCTGTAAAAAAAAAAATCGGTGGCATATCGGCGGCATATTCTCCGATACCGATATATCTGCAACAGGCTCATATCGGCCGATAAAATCGCCAAAACGAAATATCGGTCGGGCTCTAATTAATACGGTAATCTAAAGGGATAGTTCAGCCAAAAGCCCTCAGGCCATCCAAGATGTAGGTGACTTTTTTTTTTATTTTCTTCCAGCAGAACGGTAATGCAGATTTTTAGCTGAAACCGTGCTCCTTGGTGGTTCATAGAAGGCAAGTCAGTGGCTGCCTGTTTTTGGGAATAAGCAAAGCATGACAGGCGACAAAATGAATCCCCGTGGCTCCTGATGAAATATTGAGGTCTTATGAAGCAAAACGATCGGTCTGTGCAAGAAACTGAACATTATTCACAGCTTTATTATTACCTGTAATCCAGAGCCTCAGGCAAACGGGGAAATGCTATTCTTTTCCACAAACTAGTTCTTTCGGACAGTTTGATTCAGTGAACTGGTTCAAATAATGTCACATGTATGCAATTATATTATTCAAATGTTAAATTATTTCTAAAGCATATGAAGTGAATAAACTAATCTTAATCATCTCACCTTTTTACATAGACTGCAGGGCTCACAAAATTTCTAAATCCCGGGCAGCCCTTTGGGCAGGCATTCTTCAGATTTTGGTAGCTCAAAATGAATGTAACTAGCCCGAATAAAAAAAGACATTGGCTGAACTTCTCTGAGGACAAATCAGCATGATCAAAAACTTCAGAGATTGTATTTTTCTTCTAATAACGAGTCGAGAGAGTAGATGTGCAACGGATCACAAACTCATGGTTCGGATCATATTAAGGATTTTAAGTCACTGATCTGGTAATTTCTTATCAAAAAATGGTTCTTTATTATTCAAAGAACACTTATTATTTAAAGAAAAGTACTTCTTTCAGGGTTCGTACGGTCATGAAAAACCTGGAAAAGTCATGGAATTTTAAAACGGCAATTTTCAGGCCTGGAAAAGTTTTGGGGAAATAAATAAACCCAGGAAGTTTTGGAAAAGTCATGGAATTTTAAAACGGCAATTTTCAGGCCTGGAAAAGTTTTGGGGAAATAAATAAACCCAGGAAGTTTTGGAAAAGTCATGGAATTTTAAAACGGCAATTTTCAGGCCTGGAAAAGTTTTGGGGAAATAAATAAACCCAGGAAGTTTTGGAAAAGTCATGGAATTTTAAAACGGCAATTTTCAGGCCTGGAAAAGTTTTGGGGAAATAAATAAACCCAGGAAGTTTTGGAAAAGTCATGGAACTCTATTTCCCAAATCTCTGTATAATAGAATTGTGTTGAATCAGGTCCTGAATTTCGGTGCGGGATTGCGCATAGGCTATATCGCATAATTTTACTCATTCCCGCAGCTTTTGACTTTTAAAATGATGGATAATCACACATTTATTACACATATATATATATATATATATATAGCATGTATGTTTGATGAGTAAATAAATCCACACGGACGATCAGATCAAATCAGTCTTTTAAAAACAGCGTGAGTGATTCAGCTGTACGCGTCTTCTCTCTTTGACTTTCTCTTAAAACGGCTTCACATCGGCACATCTTGTCTGCATTTTCGTTACTTTAAGTGAATTTAGAAATACGTTTGGAACATTTTTTGTTTGTTAAATTCAAGTTTTTGTTTTTAAAGTAGCCTAACGACCAAGCGGCCAGCGGCAGACAGTGAGTTAGCCTATGTTTGATCAATTTAGCCTTCTCAAATCATCACCACTTGACTAAAATGAAATCTATATATAAAATACTTAAAAAGTGTGAATCCAATCATTTGTGCGCTGGACAGAAACACAAATACACACTGGACAGTTTGCACTCAAGGATCGGCGCCTGTGAACAAAACTAATAAAGGTAAACTTTTTTTAAAGACAAGTGAACTGTCGGTAATAAAATAAGAGCAAACAAACAAATGACAAGCACAGATAAATAAAATAGAACAATGTTACAAATGAAATAAGATCTAACGTTGTTTCTTCACCGTTTATGTTCACTTGAGGCATAACCGACTGTGTTTACAAGAACGCTTGCCGAGGCACTTATTTTAAGATCGTTTTGTGTGAATGTGTTCAAGCGAAAGAGGAATCAGTTCTGTGTTTGTGTGCTGTCTGAAACGCTGCTCTTGAATGAGTGCACACGAGCACCGGATTGAGTTCTCTTTCACCTCTTCATGTGCTTGAGTGGATTAAAACGCTTCAATTGACAACACGTGTAAATGATCAGCTACGATCCAGTTCACCCCACAAGCGGAGCTTATATCACTAATCTAGATAGGTTAGAAACTTTAACTTTAGTTTGGTTTTGTTAGACTTCAATATGTCGTTAAGAGTCATGGCTATTAATTTTGCGTTGCCTGTAAATGTGTTTTGACTCAAGTGACGGCAGCCATTGACTTCACCAAGGAGCACGGTTTCATCTAAAAATCTTCTGTACTGTTCCAGTGAGTGCTCCAGAGGACAGTAACAGCACATTTTCCTTGTTGGGTGAACTGTCCCTTTAATATCTATAACCGTGTCATTCTGTAAAGCTCTAGCTAGCATGCAGGATTGTCCTAGACACTTCAACAATCTGGCTGATCTGTTATCCAGAACTGTAGCTTCATTTGTCAAGTCACGTGTGTTTCAGTAGCACTTTACACAAAGCAGCTACACACAGAAGCAGGAAAATAACACGATCAGTGATGCAAACGTAATCAAATAGGAAAGCAGCTCTACAGAAGACTGTAGTGTCATTCAGGTCAGTTTAGTTTTTGTTCTCATCTATGCGGTCAAATCAGTAATATTACTGGCTATAATGTGTCTTTTAAAGCCCAGCAGAGCAGGTGAAGGCTCTCTGACTGCACGAGGACACAGTGCCGCACACTGGTGTCCTGTGATGAGCAGCGTCTCGGTGCTGAAGGCCTCTGTGTGTGTTGCAGGTGTTCGTGTGCGGCGTGGTGTTCTGCAGTCAGGCGCAGCTGCAGGAGCGGGGGAAGATGGCCTGCTCTCAGCCGCACGAGCCGCGCTGTCTGCCGCTGCACATCATGAAGCTGCTGTCGTCTGACAGACAGAGAGAGTGGTGGGATGCTGTCTACAGCCTGATTCACAAGAGAGCGCAGTGAGTGACTCCTCCTGTGTGTGTGTGTGTGTGTGTGTGTGAGACGTCGTGTGTTCCTGACTGCAGTGTGTGTGTCTCAGGCCCGGGACGTCTGCTAAACTGCGTCTGCTCGTGCAGCACGGTCTGGGCACGCTGCGCGCCGGAGAGAAACACGGCCTGCAGCCGGCGCTGCTCATACACTGGGCTAAACACCTGACTGACGCGGTACGTCCTGACCACCTGCGCCTCATACAGATCATTCCTCACACAGCGTAACTGTAAAAGCTCATGCAGTCTGCTGAGGGAAGGAGTTATCATTGGGTTCACATGTATTCATATACTTCAGCTCTTTTGGCCACATCTTAGAGTGCTAGTAACACTTTCTGCAACGGTTTCTCTTTCTTTAAAAAGTCTTGCCCTCCACAAATTTGTAGTTTGCATGCACTCCTTCATCAGTGTATTTGTCTTGCTTTCCAACACAAATATCTACACATCCTTGATTCAAGATACTTTTACTTGAGATGTAATGCAAAATTAAGTCTTGCGAAATTGAACAAAACTAAGTGAGTTTATGATAAAACAAGAACAAATGTCAATGAAATTAAAATGTTTTCTCTTTGAATTAAGTGGGTTTCTTCTGAGCCCATAGGAGATATTTGTTCATAAACTCACTTCATTTTGAGCTAATTTTCTAGAAAACAAGACATCTTCCTTTGTAACTTTCCTTCTCAAGGAAAGGTGTCTTAATTTAAGAATCTTTAGACATTTGCACTGAAAAACAAGACAAAAACACAGAGGAAGACTTTTTTCTCTCTCTCTGTGATCAGAAGAAATGTAATTTCTATATTCTGGTGACTGTGAGCAGAGCTATTTAAACCTAAAGCTTTTTTTGTAAAATGGATTAAAAAGTAATGGAGATTTGTTGGAAGTATTTTCCACTTTAAAATGTTGCTAATACCTCTCATTGTGTTTCTCCAAGGATTTACATTAAACAAAACATTGACACATTGTTCCCTTCAGATTAATCCTTTCATTGCCTTTACTTGGTTTTAAGAAGAACTTGGTGTTAAATGTGCCGTGTGTGTGTGTGTGTGTGTGTGTGTGTGTGTGTGTGTGTGTTCCCTTCAGATTAATCCTTTCATTGCCTTTACTTTGTTTTAAGAAGAACTTGGTGTTAAATGTGCCGTGTGTGTGCGTGTGCGTGTGCGTGCGTGCGTGTGCGTGCGTGTGTGTGTGTGTGTGTGTGTGTCTGGCTCTGCGGGTGAACTCCTACTACGATCAGAAGGAGTATGCTAGCCGCAGTGTGCACTACTGGAGGGTTGTGCTCCCCCTGCTGGAGAAGGTCCGACACAAACGCAGCATCCCTGAACCCCTGCAGCCCATGTTCATGCACTTTCAGAGCAGAGACATACAGGTATCTCCGTTACTTCAGTGCTTTGGCTGCTGGGATGTGCGTGGCTTCCTGCTGCGGTCTTTGTTTTCTGTTACTGTGTCGTCTCTAATGATCTTTTGGACGTCAGCCCTCTCAGGTGCGAGTGTATGAGGAAGATGCAGTCATAAGCTTCGCCACACTCCTTGACATCGAGGGCAACACAGAGGAGGCCATCGTGAAGCTGGAGCAGCTCAACAGCATCTCGTCTAACTGGCATCTGGCGAAGGTAACGGCGCAGTCACACTGACTCCGCTTCAGCTCATCGGCAGCTCCGTCTGAAGGAGCTAGCGCTGTGTCTGACAGCTTTTGACGTGTCTCATGTGTCGATCGCCAGATCTATCAGAGGCTGTCGGAGGAGGCAGGGAACGGGCTTGAGGAAACTCAGGGCATGTGCACCAGCTTCCTCCTGAAGTTCAGGAAATACTTGGCCAAGATTTATCAGGCCAATGCAGAGGATATGGAGAAGGTATGTGAAACTCACCACTGACTCCCTCGTATGGTCTCTGTGCTGCTCTCTTTATTCACACAAGTGGCCATGGCAGGACAGTTTTTAGTGCTGTTTGTATTAAACCTCTCAGACACTCTAGGGCTCAGAAGATGCTTTTCAAAAGCACTGCATTCCTCCTGTTCACTCAGATTCAACAACTAGAGCACCATGCAGCCCAGATCATATATACTAGGGGTTGAACGACTTCTGATTTTTTGAAGTCGACTCTTATGTGATGAAAATCGAGTTGAAGTCGACTAGTCACTAATGACGTCATTAATGAACACATAACTCTGGAGCTGTGATAAACAGCTTGTGCACAGCTATGGCATACGACACAGCGCTGCCCACACGGCTGTTGCTACTGTAACAGCTTTTTTATCAGTTGTTTTGTCTTTAAGTCATTATAGTTCTCACAGATTTCTGCTCGTTCTAAATCAGAAACAGATAAAGTGACGTCATTAATGAACACATAACTCTGGAGCTGTGATAAACAGCTTGTGCACAGCTATGGCATACGACACAGCGCTGCCCACACGGCTGTTGCTACTGTAACAGCTTTTTTATCAGTTGTTTTGTCTTTAAGTCATTATAGTTCTCACAGATTTCTGCTCGTTCTAAATCAGAAACAGATAAAGCAGCACAGTAAAGATTACATTAATATGAATGCATTAGTGAGAGCGATTGCGTGTGAATTAATTATTCCTGGCAGCGTCTCTCTACTAGTAGTGAAGCTGTGGGATTTAGTTAAGAAATAAATTATTGAACTTTTCAGTTTCTAAGCTATTTTATTGAGAAATCACAGAACAGTGTTGACAATACATTTCTGCGCTGAATGATTCTGTGTGTGTGATGTATGAGCTACTGTCTGTAGCCTGTGTGTGTGTGTGTGTGTGTGTGTGTGTGTGTGTGATGTACGAGCTACTGTCTGTAGCCTGTGTGTGTGTGTGAGTCGGTGCAACCAACGCTCCCGCTCCCACTCGTATTTGTAAATTTTAAGCCACTAAAAGACTATTTAAATATGAATCCTGCGTGTCTCTGTGTTAATGAATGGTGCAGACGCACGGACGCACGGTTTACTTGTACTGAAGCGCGTGACACGGTGATATTAACGTCTGCTGTCTCACTAAATGAGGGCATAAATACATAAATACATGAAACTGCTCTTTGAGAGTCACTTCATGAGCATTTGACAGTTTCATTTGAGTAAAACTATCCTCATATCATATACACACAGAAATGTAAAGGTATTCACAGCAACCCGTCAAAATTAAAGTTTGGTTTAACTTGAAGGCATTGTGGCAGAAATACATTACTATTGTTCAGTAGAATGTGATAGGCTACTACTGTTACTAAAATGATTGATTAAAACCTTATTTTTAAGGAATAATCATACAACATTTCTTCAATGTTTTAATTGTAATATTAAATCCATTTTATTATCCAAAAAAAATCACATTTGTTTAATTTTCATTAATTAAAAGATAAATTAAATAAATGTTTTATGCCTTAAAAATGTAAATACACAACACAGAATTTCTGAGGGAAAAAACTCATAAGGCTATTCTGCCGTGCAATTTTTTTTTAATGAGTTATTGATATTTTTGGGACATTCAAGACATAATTTATCATGTGTATAAGTATCTTGAGTCAATTTGGTTGTTTTTCCGAGAAAATAATGAGTCGTCTCAACCGTAACTTTGAAAAGCCCCAGAGAAACCAAGGCAGAGCACCGTATAACACCAGTTACGGCTCTTTCACTTTGTTTGGAATGCTCAAACTGAGTTACGGCATTCTGACTTTGTTTAGCCATTCGTCAATATGAAGTTACGGTGCCGGCTTGGAGTTATACGGTGTTCTGCCTTTGTTTTACTGTCCATTAAAGTCTGCCTCATTTTAGTTACGGTGTAGACAAACAAATTAGATGGATCGCGATCTACCAAACAGCTCCATATAACAAAGCACTGTAAAGACTAGATACCTTGGCAGTAATATGTAATCGTGAATAACCTTTAAATATTTTTTTTTCTTTTTGTAATGCAGATTATTCACCAGGCTGTCACTTCTAGTTGATGTCAAGTCGGTGCAACCCCTAATATATACACCGGTCTCCATGCATATGGAGGGGTGTGCGATACACCGATTGAAAGAAGGTTGTAGTCAAATGTTTTAAAAGTGTATAAAATTTTTGATCACTGCTACTAAGGAAATTGTCTTGAGGACTGTTGCTTTTTCGTCAGTGTTTGTAATCACATTTCCATAATGTGTGTCTATATATTGTGTTTTTGTTTTGTTTGTTTTTTTGTGATCAGCCACGGTTTTAAGAATATTGTGACGCAAATCTTTGCTCATGGTCACCGCTGGCATGTCTGTCTGTGTGTTTGTGAAGTTACCGGTGTCTATGGAGGAGGTGATGGATTTGTTGAATGAGGTCAGCCAGCAGCTTGAAGATGTTGGTGAGATGTGTGAAGATCAGGTGGACTATCCTGTGACATCCAGCCCCGGGCAGCCCGCTGAAGGCCATGTCAGATTCTCCACTCCTTCCCCATCCAAGAGTGCGACGTCTCCGTCCAAAAGATCTGTGGTACGTCACGGCTCAGGTGTTTGTGCTCAGACTCTGTGTGCCGTTTACCGCTGCTGATTGTCTCTGTCTCCCTCCTGCAGTTCTCCCCCAAAACACCACCTCACTGGGTGGAGGACCAGAAGTCACTGCTGCAGATATTATGCCAGCAGGTCGAGGCCTTGAAGGTCAGTCCGACACCAACAGCTGCAGAAGAATCCATCACTTTCTTTGCTTTTGCTTTGGCACCGTGTGAATTTACCTTCTGAGCGTTATTTTGATTGTTTTATCTGTGGTTTTGTCTGTTCTGCATGTCAAAAGTTATTCAAAAAGGCATTGTTTAATTGTGGAGTGAAGAGAACAGAGAGATTGAACAGTTTGAGCAAGAGCGCTGTAGACTTGAGTCCACGCTCCCAGTTCAGAGCCAGACTGCAGGACGTTTGCTTGCACTAATGCACACAAGCTTAGATGCTTTCTTAATCCAGTGCTTATCATAAGAAAAACAACGCTGATATCTAGAATGTTAGACTCGTGGTGCTGTTCATAAGACATAAGATTATAAATGAAAACGCTTCCTTCATAATGACTGAAGCGCACTCACTTCATTTCAGCGTGAGTTCACTCTTGCCGGAACTCCCGTTATTATTGAAACTAATGCACTCAATCTTTTGCTCACATCATGTCTTTGTGCAGAAGCGCACTGAACACAGTTTGATGAACGGTTGATGAACTTAACTGCCTCCGATTGGCTGTTGCGTTCTTGTGCTCAACAGACATGTCTGTGATTGGCTGCAGTGCTCAGTGCTGCAAAACGCATTGTAAATGGAAACCATTGCACTTATAAATACATGCAGGAGTGTTTGAAAGCAGCCGGCTGTCAGCAGCAGCCAAACTGAGTCTGTATTGCCAATAATGCAGAAACACTGGTATCAGCACATTTGAATGATTTCACAATCACCTGACAACTCTAGCTAAAGCTTTAAAAAGCATAGTTACCTTTCTGTCTGTTTTTTATGTCTTCTGTTGAATAATCCATGTTTTTATCACTTTAAGATGTACCAAGATGTATCGTTTAGAAAGGACTCAGTGGAATATATGCACATAAACGTGCTGGATGGTGTTTGAAGTGCTGAAGTAGATGAAATGTGTCCATAAAGCCTTTAAACACACACTGCACTGATCGAGCTCATGCACCAGCCAGTGCTGTGATTGGATTAGCGCTCATGAATGACTCTGTTCTGATCTTATACTACACGGCACATCAAATTATGTGTGATGTGAAACCTTTTTCAATTATCTGCAAATGAAATGGTCATCCTGACCAAAGGAAAAATAAAACCTTGCTTTGTTTGGTGAACATTTTCATCAAACATTCTCTGTCAGTGTGAAAAGGGCCCGGTACCAGCTGAGAACAAGTGTTTTGGAAACTCATTTCTGATGTTTTATTTTTTTTCGTCTCACGCAGAATGAGGTTCATGACCTGCGCCATAACTCTTCAGATGCCACGCCATCCTCGTATAGGATGCATAGAGACAATTATGCTGCAGAAGGACTTCAGGAAACATTTCCTGCGGCGCAGACACTCCACGGTGTTCCTCTCACTGGTCAGTTCAATGACTTCCCCAAATCAGCAGTCTTTGATTTAAATTGTAAGTGTATCCAAGTGGTTCTTAAAGTGTACCCCCCCCCCAGTCTTGTTCACTTTCAACTAGGGCTGCACGATAAATCGCATGTGATATTTAACGTGCATCTTGTCAGTAAAGCCGGTTCTGTAATCAGCGGGCTTTCACGTGGAGCAACATTAACTACAAAGAGCCCTTGTTAACTGACGAGCTGCACAAAACCACGTTCATATTTTGCAGATGTTTGGCGCAGCTCGTCAGTGAACAACGGCTCTGTGTAGTTAATGCTGCTCAATGTGAAAGCACGCACGTGATGGAGATTTACCGCTGATTACAGAACCGGCTTTCTGACAAGATGCGCGTTAAATATCGCATGCGATTTATCGTTCAGCCCTACTTTCAACATTCAAATATACAGACGATCTCGCAACAGTAGACGTGAGAAACAATGAGGCTTGTGCAGGTTCTTTCCTCTATGTATGTGCTTTGCTTATGCAAACAGACTAATGCTCTTGCATGCACACCAGATTCAAATGGGGAAGGACAAGATTTTGTGTGAGTGTGACTTTACAATCTGTTTTTCACAAAGCAACTCGAATCATATGGATTTGCCTAGAGTAAAAATTTTGTAATTTTTAATCACTTTAGTTTTTTGGGGGGGGACCAATGAGAACCACTTGTATATACAATAATTGAGATCTGATTAAAACCGTTCCTTTCATTTGTCTCAGTTGCTACTACAGGTCCCTCTGTGTACTATAACCAGTCTCCAGCATATAATTCACAGTATCTTCTGCACACCGCTGCGAATGTCACACCAACAAAGGTACTGGAGGCATTTTCATGTAAACACAATATATTCTACCTTACAGTAAAGAGGCCGAGAATCTATATCAGAGTATTGTTTGTTTGCCTCTGCAGGGCCCAGTATATGGGATGAATCGTCTTCCTCCACAGCAGCATATGTATTCCTACCAACAATCAACACACACCCCACCTCTCCAGTCAACACCCGCATGCATGTATCCTCAAGAACAGGTCTTCGGTCCTCCCATCCGCTTTGAGTCACCAGCTACATCCTTACGGCTCCTCCTGCCAAATTGTTTTCTTTTGGACTTTCTGGAGATTCCGCTAAAAGCGCCACCAGCACTGATGTCAGCTCAAAGGGCTTCACATTTGGATCTCAAGTTCCAGTTTCTTTTAAGTTTGGATCGAAGGATGCTGCCGTCACATCTGCTGGCTTTGTAGCTCAGGCTGAGAAGAAAGCAATTCAGTCTGATGCACCACAACAAGAGAAAGTGTCAGCAGGTCCAGCAGTCCCATTTGGCACTGGATTTGGTGCTCAGTTTGCCAAAGGATCGAAGGATGCTGCCGTCACATCTGCTGACTTTGTAGCTCAGGCTGAGAAGAAAGCAATTCAGTCTGATGCACCACAACAACAGAAAGTGTCAGCAGGTCCAGCAGTCCCATCTGGCACTGGATTTGGTGCTCAGTTTGCCAAGAAAGAGGGTCAGTGGGACTGTGACTCCTGCCTAGTGAGGAATGATGCCTCAGCAACTGAATGCGTTTCTTGCCAAGCCCCCTGCAGCACTGAAAAAAGTAAAGCAACATCGCAAGGTGGGCTAGCTGCCATGTTTGGTAAAAAAGATGGACAGTGGGACTGTGACACTTGCCTGGTAAGAAACAAAGGTTCGTCCAGCCATTGTGTTTCATGTCAGACAGCAAACCCAAATATGAAAAACACGACCTCTGCTGCACCGTCAAGTTCCTCTTTTTCCTTCAGTTTTGGTAGTTCTAGCAGCCAACCTGCTGCGACAGGATTTAAAGCCAACTTCAATCCAGGCACTGCTTCCTTTCAGTTCGGCACAAGTCAGGATAAAGCATCCTCAGAAGGCTTCAAGTTTGAGTCATCCACAACTGAGGCTGAAAAGTCATCAGGCAGTTCAAGTTTTCCCTTTTCCATGTCGGCGCCTGTTGGCGGATTTAAGTTTGGCATTACAGAATCTGAGGCAAAACCATCAGATGAACAGTCCCAAAATGGATCTGCGTCTGACCTCCTCAAAAATATTGCTGAGCTTCACAAAGAGAAAGAGGCAGCCCCAAGTTCATCAGAACAGTCTGTAGACGCTGATAGTCACGATAATAATCCCCTCTTTACTGGAAAGCCTGACACCTTTAGTTTCGCTGACTTGGCAAAGTCACAAGGCAGTTTTCAGTTTGGCCAGAATGATCCCGCTTTCAAAGGCTTTGCAGGGGCTGGCGAGCAGCTCTTTACAGGAGTTAATTCCAGCTCCAAGGCCGACACCTCTGTCGATCAAGATGATGAAATGTACAAAACCGATGAGAATGACGATATTCAGTTTGAGCCCGTTGTTCAGATGCCGGAGAAGGTCGACCTTGTTACAGGCGAAGAAGATGAGAAAGTCTTGTATTCACAGCGCGTCAAACTCTTCAGATTTGATACGGAAACAAACCAATGGAAAGAAAGAGGAGTTGGCAACCTTAAACTGCTCAAGAATAGCCAGAACGGGAGACTTCGAGTTCTTATGAGGAGAGAGCAGGTGTTTAAAGTGTGTGCTAATCATTGGATCACAACCACAATGAACTTAAAGCCTCTCTCTGGCTCGGATCGAGCCTGGATGTGGATGGCCAGTGACTTCTCAGATGGAGATGCCAAATTAGAACAACTTGCTGCAAAATTCAAAACACCACAGCTTGCAAAAGAGTTCAAGCTGAAATTCGAGGAGTGTCAGCGACTGCTTTTGGACATTCCTTTGCAGACGCCTCACAAGCTCGTGAACACTGGCAGAACGGCCCAGCTTATAAAGCAAGCTGAAGAAATGAAATCTGGGCTTAAGGACCTCAAATCATTCTTGACTTGCCAAAACAAGGATGACAAAAGTTGCGATACAAGTCATAGTACCTCTGCAGTTGTAGTTAAGCTCGACTCTGAGAGCACCGCACCCACTTTAGAATGGGATAATTATGATTTGCGAGAGGAAACGCACGAGGACTGTGCCAGCTCCTCTGTGTGCAATACTCCAGTAGCTAAAAATTTATTCTGCTTTGGCGAATCGTCCACAGGCTTCAGTTTCAGTTTTCAGCCTATTCTCAGTCCCTCTAAGTCTCCATCTAAGCTAAACCAGAGCCAGGCTTCTGTTGGCACAGATGATGAGCAAGAAGCGTCGCAGGAGGAAGAGCGAGATGGTCAGTACTTCGAGCCTGTTGTGCCATTGCCTGATCTTGTTGAAGTCTCAACAGGAGAGGAGAACGAGCAAGTCCTTTTCAGTCACCGGGCCAAATTATACCGCTATGATAAAGATCTCAGTCAGTGGAAGGAACGAGGTATAGGAGACCTTAAAATACTACAACACTATGAAACAAAGCGTGTCAGACTCGTGATGAGACGGGACCAGGTCCTCAAACTGTGTGCAAACCATTGGATTGCTTCCAATATGAAGCTCAAGCCCAAGAAAGGAGCCGAGAAAGCATGGATCTGGAGTGCCTTTGATTTTGCTGAAGAGCAGGGCACGGTGGAACAGCTGGCGGTTCGATTTAAACTGCAGGAAACTGCAGATGCTTTCAAAGAAATCTTCGAAGAGGCGAGGACTGCACAGGAAAAAGACACTCTACTCGCCCCGTTTTCTGCGAGAGTACCTGCCTCCACCCAGGAGACGCTTTGTGGCCAGGCTGCAGTTGCTGTACTTGAGGAAACCACAAAAGAACGTACCGGACTCTCTGAGGAAGACGGTCCTAATCCGGATGGGACACCGGGGGCAAAGCTTGGTGCTCAAAGCAGCAAGAATGTGGTCTCTCCTCCTAAGTTTGTCTTTGGGTCAGACTCTGTGCAGAAGATCTTTAGAAGCCCTTCGCCATCAAAAGAAAAATCTCCTGTTGTGATTCCCAGTTCAGAAGATGAGGAAGTAAGTGCCTCGAGACTGAAAACCTCTGGACCAGCAGTGACCAGCCAGTCATCGGTTGGGACTCCTTTCAGCATACCAACAAGAAGTAAGCTATGTTCTGTGACCCACAGTTATGAATAAAACTGTACCTGTTTGTTTAGCTTGAGTGCTGTCCAACCCTGATCCAAACACACCTGCCTGCAGTTTTCAAGTAGTCCTAAAGATTATGATTAGCTGCTTCAGGTGTGTTCAGCCAAGGTTGGAGCTAAGTGCATCTCTGCTTTAGGTTGTAGTTGGTTTATATTTACTTGTTTAATGAAAACGTTCTTCATGTTCTTATTGTGCCGTTTGTTGACGCATGTTTTTCCCCAAGGAAGTATTTCTGTCCTATATAGACTGATATTCATCCACTCTGATCCTGAGATGGATTAAAGTCCCTCAACAAAATGATTTTTAAAAAACTGTAACACACAACATTATTTTTTAGGTTTGGATTTTAGGCTTTTCAAACATAATCCTATGACTTTTTGGACCTGCGCATCAGCCACCCAGTTTGAAGCCCAAGGTATTTGAGGTCACCGTTTACTGTGGCACATGGAGCTCTCACTGACTGGCATGAGCCGGGAGACCTGACCTTGGCTGAATGATGTGATAACCCAACATTACTCAGGCGTGTGCATGGTCTGAAATCTGCTAACCTTTAGCCGTTTGTTTGACACTTCAGTACAGTTTACAATTAAGGTGCACCAGTGGCTTCAAAGTCCTTCAAGCATTCAGCAGCGAGTGTCTTGTGAAGTGATTTCACATCTTTAAATGTGACACCAGCAGGTGTCATTGCAGGAATTTGCCCTTCCAAGTATTTCTGTCTCTGCTATGAGTAGTTATTAGTATTTTTGGCTCGAAACCCTCTACGTACACCTTGGCAATATAATAGCCATTGGCTAGTAATTTTTTTTTTGTTTACTCGCCAGACTGATATACTATTTTACACACACACACATAGTACATATATACAGTGGGTACGGAAAGTATTCAGACCCCCTAAAATTGTTCACTCTTTGTTATATTGCAGCCATTTGCTAAAATCATTTAAGTTATTTTTTTTTCCTCATTAATGTACACACAGCACCCCATATTGACAGAAAAACACAGAATTGTTGACATTTTTGCAGATTTATTAAAAAAGAAAAACTGAAATATCACATGGTCCTAAGTATTCAGACCCTTTGCTCAGTATTTAGTAGAAGCACCCTTTTGATCTAATACAGCCATGAGTCTTTTTGGGAAAGAGGCAACAAGTTTTTCACACCTGGATTTGGGAATCCTCTGCCATTCCTCCTTGCAGAGCCTCTCCAGTTCTGGCAGGTTGGATGGTAAACGTTGGTGGACAGCAATTTTTAGG